TAAGAAACAACACCCGAAAAACACAAAAAAAAAAAAAAACCGGCGCCCGATACGATACGACGCGATAGTTTCTAACTTCAGACGTTAGGTGGTGCTGATTCGCAATGTTGCATCTTACACCGCCAGGCGGCGTTCAGGTAACAAAATGCCGCGGTACGAAGGTTATGTCGTTGCTGCTGATAAATATCCAATAATTCTCGATATTGGAAGTGCCTACACGAAGTAAGTTATTTATTTTGATCTTTTCTAATTCATAAAAGCATTTAAATATGTTTACGATCCTTAAATTTACAAATATAGAATATATCAACAGTAGCAGCCATTTTTAATTAGGTTAAATGACACATCTCTACATAACACATGGTTTACATCATCTAAACATGTTTGTTTATTATCTAACAATGAATAAAATTGCATATTTAATTGATTTTGATTGATATATCTTCAAATAAATACACTGAAACAGCTGATCTGATAAAAACAATTTAAAAATAAGGCCTCAAAGATGAGGTGGGCCTGACTAGTCACAAATGTGGGCCCCCTTCTCTCTTCAAAAGCCATAAAATATATATAAATAAATAAAGTAATAAGAGATTATCCGCCATGTCACAAAATATAGTTTTATACATTATTTTCCTGTTTAAAAGACTAAATTTTGGGGCCTTCATTGCTGGGCCTGTTTATAAATCTAGATTTGCACAGATTTATATTTATCAATATCACTATTAACTATTGCAGCTCTGAATGAGGCATTGGGTCTTCTTCTTTATCTTCGCCTTTTCCCATGTTTATATGGGGTCGGCGTTTCCTTCTCTAATATGTTTCCTCCATTTTTTCTTATCATATTACTTATCCATATCGAATGGGGTATGGATAAGTTATTTCTTGCAAAGATTCACATTTAAACTTATCCATTTTATGTGGAGTGAATGATTATAAGCATACAACAAAGGAAATAAATGCCACGAATATGATTAGTAATAAAATGGTGCAAAGAGCTGCATCTATTTGACAAGATACATTTTGCTTGAAACAAGCAATTTAGTTTTGTGTAAAGTTAAATACAGCTGTCCCTTGATAATCCGACAGGTATGGGACCAAAAGGGTGTCCAGATTACCGAAAGTGATTACATATTTGGCATTGTTTTGCTAGCAGTAGCCTACAATATTCCCTACTCCAACCGTTCGAACAGAACTGCTCACGGAAAACACACGAAATGTGTGTCATTGTGTAAGAATTGGATGGGGAGATTCACGTCGTGACATGCTTCTGTGCAAGCAGACACATAATGGGGATGGGTACCTTGACGGGAGGTGTGTCGGACTACTGAGCATGTCAGATTACAAAACGTCGGACTATCAAGGGACAGCCGTAATGGTAATTGAATGATAGAGCTAGAATAATTATCGGGCTAGAATTTGATTAATTAATAATGTAGATATGCAGTTTGTACTGAAGGTAGATGATTATGCCAAGGCCATTGAAAGGGAGAGCTGGAAATTTTTCACAGGTCAGAGAAAACTTACAGGTTTATAGTTCTTCCGCTATAAATTAACGTTATTTTTAGTAACAGAAAATAAATATTTAAAACTGCTTTTTATTAATACAGAAGCATTCTTTGCATTTCATCTGTTTAAAAAAATGGCAAAGGGGGCCTGCTATACCTCAGGTCCCATACAATCTCATGATGGTTAGTTAATAACAGGAAAATTATAATGTTAGGAGTGCAACTGCAACTGCATGTTTCTATACATAGACTAACACAGTTACAAAACTGATACAAAACATCATTTTAATTTTATAATATTGCTAAAATATAAAATTGTCTACATAAGTTCATGGGCAGATGGGACTTGTTTGAGCAGCAAGGGACAGGTACCACTCGAAATTTCTCAACTTTCTAAAGGCCTAAATTGCTGCCACATAATTTGTATGTATTTTTGTACAGATGTGGATTTGCAAGAGAAACCGGTCCCCGATGGATTATATCATCCGAAGTTAAAAATTCTCAAACTGGGAAGGTAAGAGTAAAGATATTTAATAGCTATAAAATGTACGTAGGTATTTAAAATTACATATTTTTGATTTAAGGTGACAAAATTGTGGGATTACAAGAGTCCCGAAGAATTGTACTTACTCTTCAAGGAATTCCTCCAACAAATGTATTTCAAGTGAGCATTAAAATTCATTATTTTTTCATAAGCATTGTACTATTCTTTTATAAATTTATTCCTGTATACAGAATTTATTTAATAATTCATCATTTCCAAAAATAAAACTTTGAGTTAAAACTTTTCTACCCCGTAAGAATAATGCTGTATTTGAGAATTTGAAACAGATTTCTGCAGCTCCATTTACATGGTTTCATGGAATCAATTACTTCCATAAGCAAAGAGATTATTGTATATATAAAATTCTTTTTTTGAGTATTGGATTAAATATTACACAAAATACACAACTGCAAAGAGTAGAATAGGCTTCTAGTTTTTATTGATTGGTGAATCACTTACGCCCCCATCCATTTCTTACCTTGTATTACCCTGTATCAATTTAAATAAATTATTTTGGCACACAATCTATTATTATCTATCTATCTGGTAATGTAACATATGAGATATGTGATGCATGAAAATCTTCTTTACTTTGGCTAACAGCACAGTATCGCAGTTTGGAAAATTGACTAGATCAGTCTATGGAACGACCAGTGGTCCACGAATCATACTTTGAGAACTAATGTTTGAAATGGGAGTATCTATAAATACCAGAGGCCTAGAAATGCTAATAAAAGTCCACAAATTTCTTGATCTGGTCTGGCAAACGTACAAATTTGCAATTATAAATTGGTTAGTCAAGATACAAAGTAATTTCTTGTTTCTTCTTTTGAGACCTTTGTCACAAAATCATTCATGAAGATTTCTGGTGCAAATTCAAATTTTAATTTTGTGGAGTGGTATAGAACCTTTACCACACAAGCCACCCACCTATCAAGATACAAGCTCCGGAATTGTGTAATTTCTTACTGATTCTAAGGTGAGTTGATGATGATGATAATGATTATAACATTTTCTGATTTTCTAAAACACCATGAATAGTTTAAAAATTAGTTTTATTTGGGGAACTTGGGGGCGAATATTTGTTGGACCATTGAATGATTTGAAATACAAAAACAAAAAATTATTAAAATTCGTAAAATAAAGACTTGTACGTAACAATCTCATTGCACAGAAAAAATAAATTTTAGTTGTCTTCCCTACTATCTTCCAAAACATTTTGCCAATACTCCTTATTTGCCAATGGCTGGACGTATTTGTTACTCGAACCTTTTGGACATTTTGCTATAACTTTCAACTTGTTTGTATTAGTTTGCTGGTTTAGTTTTCAATAAGAAAATTATGAGCAGCATACAGCTTATGCACAAAATGCCAAAGGAATTATCAGTGTATAAAACTGCACACTTGATAGCACAGAATAGTTTTTAAATTTTCCAACAAGATTGCCATGAAGAATAAAAAACTTTCATCATATGGGGAAAATTTATAATCTACATTGGCAAACTATGTTATAGTAACTGAAAGAACATTTACTAGAATAAGATAAACAGATGATTTCATATGAACTGTTATACAGTACAGTACAATACAATTTTGATAGAAGTACTGCATTATGCAAGGGTTACCTGTATTTAATTTTATAGGTGATCTATATATAATACATATGCAAGAATAGGTTTACCACCTTTAGCTGTTCTCATCTACTGCAGGATATATAGGTCTCTCCAATCACTTCAATTCCGAGTTTTCTGCATCCAGTTCATCCCCAGTCTCTCCATCTCATTTTTGTTATCCAGGCATCCTTCTTCTTGATCTCTGTGTCCATTCTGTTATTCTTTGTCTATTCATCTGTAGCTCCTAACCTAACCACATTTTCTTCATGCAGGAATATATTATATGTTGAAATTTATTTTGTAAAAATTATAAAAATATTTATTATCATTATTATTACTTTTTAAATAATTATGAAGATACGTAGTTGCTAATCCTAAAGAAAGAAGGGTTGTAATTGTGGAATCCGTAGTTTGTCCAACAGTTTTTAGAGAAACGTTAGCTAAAGTTCTCTTCCATCACTTTGAGGTATAGTATCAATTAGCAATTAGATTTTTATAACTTTTATTATAACATTTATAAAACAAGATTATTTTCCAAAATTGTTACAGATTCCTTCTCTGATCTTTGTGCCTGCCCATTTGATGAGCCTTTTTACGCTAGGGATCACCACTGCTCTTATACTCGACGTCGGCTACAATGAAACAGCCGTACTTCCGATATCCTTTTATTAAAATCACACTAAATAGTTTATGTAATTTCAAGAATTTCCTTAACTAGCATACGTCTATGAAGGCGTGACATTGTTACGCGCATGGCAAGGCTTGCCATTAGGTGGTCATGCTATTCACAGGTTAGTAAATTTGGAGTAATAGGGTTTAAATGTTAATCGCATATCTTAGGCAGATTATGTTTAATAAACAGGAGAATCGAATTAGGATTAATGGAGAACGGAAAGATAAAGGTTAAAGGCTTGGACGAAGTTCCTTTGACTACCGTGTTAACAGGTAAATGTCTAATTTATTTGTTACGAGACTAGAAAATTATGTCCTTTAACATACGGAAATTATATAACAGGAATTGATTTTAAGAACATTTTTAGGATTTATAAATATATATTAGGGAACATTATTAAAATAGTAATAATTGTCTCTTTTAATTGCATCCCGAAGAAGATACAGGTAAGATTATTTATAAATATATTATGAGAAACAAATACTTTTTATAAAAATTACTTTTAATGATGAAAATGATTATAGTGTGTTTCAATCATTATCGTTGTTAGGATTTTGAATTTCAGTTATTAAATTAATTGTATTTAAACAAAATCAAATTGCAGTATAATGTTCTGTAGTTGACAGATGCATTCAGAGCATGATTCAATGCACATATTTTTTGGAATTGCTTTATTGAACAATAAGATGCAAGCATTATTTTGAATTCTCCCACAGATAATGGAAAAATGTAAAATTATTGGAATGTTATTAAATTCAATTAGTATTACTTACTAATCATAAATATTCACTATTTTGTGTACATGCTATCCTGCTTTGGTCATCTGTTTCAATTGTTATGTAAATAAACTGATATACATTTCTAACTACAGGTATGTGCCACTTAACATTGGGAATACATCATTAGGCAAACTAGAGTTTACTCAAACTATACTATATAAGGTTTGTCTACTACTCATCATTGTGTTACTTAGAGCAGGAGTGACCAAATGTTATCACCATATATACAGTGACCATATTTTTTGGGGGAAAATAAAGGACATATCGAAGAAAATCAAAAAATACCTTATAAAATTCATAAGTTTATAACATTTATTACGAAAATAGTAGCATACAACAATGCATACGTTAAAATTTTAAACAATCTGAATTATTACACATACACACATTGTAAAAATTTAAATAACATTAATTTTGATACTTTTAAGTAGAATTAATTTTTTTATAGCGCCGTTTCACGCTTTAAAGTCATAAAATCCCATACAGTTCATTTGAAAGTTGTATTTGATGGAAATACATGCTTCTAATATGCTTACTTTTAAATCAGTTTTTTCATTTGTCCACCTATTATTCACCAATGAAAATATTCATTCAACAGGGGCATTAGATCCAGGGAGACAAAGAAAATTCTACGATTTTACAAATGTTTTTGAAAACAATTTCTTTTGCTGTAAAATGTTCAAAAATCTCAATCCACCTTTGATGGCAGGGCTGGTTATTCTGTCACCATTCTTCGATCTTTTCGTTTGTGACATATTTTTTTACACATGAAACTTCATCAAATAATTCACCGTAGAATATATTTACGGACCAATGATTCGAAATAAAGATATAGCTTTTCTCTACTTTCGCCCACAAAGGGATTTCGCATAACGTGATCCATTCAAACACCTCTATTTCAATAAAAAAACATGTCCCAATTATTTAGATAATCTATGCACGTTTGATAAAATGTGTACACAGCATCATTGCATTTTTTAGCTTGTATATTTTCTGATTTTTCTAATGNTGGTTTACGCGGAAAAAAAGGGTCCGATACTTTTTGAACAGACCTTGTATGTATGAAATATTTCATATTCCGACGACACGGAGCGTTAGTGATGCTAGATTTACCAGAATCAGATAACGTATATTTTTTATATTTTTTCTGTGCCGATAATACTTAAAGGATATTGTTTCGCCCTTATCATGGATACTCTTATGAAACCAGAATTTTTGAATATACAATATATCAAGTATATTTATTTAATAAGCATTTAAATGGATATGAGTAAAGAATGTGTCGTTAAACCCATTGACTCTCCTCGCTGCTCTAATATTCAATTTGTCTTCTTAGTCTTAGGAGCTATCCTTAAATTACGTCCGCATTTTTCTTGAAATTTTTAATCCCCCTCTTCCCATTGTCCCAATTTGTTTAAGTTTCCATAATCCTCCTTCCCATCTTCCGAGGTCTAACAAAACTTAACCTCTCTTCACAAATCTTTACCACTTTATAAATAATAAAATGTGTAAATTGTATAAAATTTAATGAAATAGAGCGAACGTCCGTTGTAGTTCAACCCTTTCCTCCTTGTCCGACTTTGTCCGATTTCTCATATTAAACCCCCTCCCTGCCTTCCACTGTGGACGTCATTTATGGACCGCCCCTTATTTGGAAAATGTATTTCTGAATTTAGAAAAATTTCATTTTTATTTTTGACTCTCTACCCAGTAGGCACTAAAAGAGCCTTTGTAATCATACTCACCATGAATTTGGCCAGGTCTACAATGAGATAGGTCGGGTCGGGTGGTGGAGCCGACATATCCGGGACAGATTTCCCATAAAAAATTTCTAAAGTTGGCAGCCCAAATTCTATTCCGAATCTTTCAGATAAAACGGAAAGAGTTGGTACATATCCAATTCTCATTCTATGGTCACTAAAGAGGTCTTTTAATATGCGTAATTGAATTATGGATCGTATTTGGTAATCACAGTAAGCCTGAAAGGTCAGTATGCCACAGTGAACCAGAAGTTACAGCTTCAGATGGATATGTCAATCCATTCTGTACTGACATTTTCTGTGGATTCACAGAGGCTTCTCTAACAGGATCTGTAAGTTAATACTAAATGAGAAATCTCGAGAGAAAACTATCTTATCCACAATTTAAGACCCAGAGACCATCAGCAATCATGAAAATCTAAGCATCTGAAACTCGTATTCAGTTTTGGGCCGTTCAGAGTAGCAATCTAAACCTAAGTCGGCACAGAAAACTGACTGATTGGTGTACACGTGCGACTGGATACTGAAAAAATTTCCAAAATACTCATAAAGAAATCCTGGGGATCCGACTCGGACTTGACTTCGGATTCCTCAGAGTTGCATGCAGGCGGCCGGATGGCAGAGCGGTCAAAGTGGCAGCCTACCGCTTTGAGGAATCCGGGATCGCATCCGGACGAGTCAAGAAATCCCCAGGAACTTTTCGAGGGGTGGTCCGTCGAAAAGTTCGGATATGTCGGGCCCCGTTTCTCACCACCCGATCGCCCCATTGTGGGCCTGGCCGAACCCACAATGGGCCCAATATAAGAGGCTCTCTTAGTGCCCACAGGGCGGAAAGAGTAAAAACAAAAGAGTTGCATGCGAACGCGTTTATTCACTTCAACTCTTCTATAGAATGTATTTTTACAAAAAAAAAAACTTAATTTTAATAAAAACTAACAACATACAAACATTTATATCTATTTTAAAATAAAACAATAAAAAAGAACATAATTTGAATCCAAAAATTCATAGAATATCACTTTTGCATCGCTATATGACTCATACATAACTAATTCTTTTTAGAAAAATAGCTATTTTTAATAATAGTATAAGTAAATTACGAATTTATAATTATATATAGATGAGTCTATGATTAAAAATTAAATTGTGCCAGGATTTTTCAGTAAGAAACAACACCCGAAAAACACCAAAAAAAAAAAAAAAACCGGCGCCCGATACGATACGACGCGATAGTTTCTAACTTCAGACGTTAGGTGGTGCTGATTCGCAATGTTGCATCTTACACCGCCAGGCGGCGTTCAGGTAACAAAATGCCGCGGTACGAAGGTTATGTCGTTGCTGCTGATAAATATCCAATAATTCTCGATATTGGAAGTGCCTACACGAAGTAAGTTATTTATTTTGATCTTTTCTAATTCATAAAAGCATTTAAATATGTTTACGATCCTTAAATTTACAAATATAGAATATATCAACAGTAGCAGCCATTTTTAATTAGGTTAAATGACACATCTCTACATAACACATGGTTTACATCATCTAAACATGTTTGTTTATTATCTAACAATGAATAAAATTGCATATTTAATTGATTTTGATTGATATATCTTCAAATAAATACACTGAAACAGCTGATCTGATAAAAACAATTTAAAAATAAGGCCTCAAAGATGAGGTGGGCCTGACTAGTCACAAATGTGGGCCCCCTTCTCTCTTCAAAAGCCATAAAATATATATAAATAAATAAAGTAATAAGAGATTATCCGCCATGTCACAAAATATAGTTTTATACATTATTTTCCTGTTTAAAAGACTAAATTTTGGGGCCTTCATTGCTGGGCCTGTTTATAAATCTAGATTTGCACAGATTTATATTTATCAATATCACTATTAACTATTGCAGCTCTGAATGAGGCATTGGGTCTTCTTCTTTATCTTCGCCTTTTCCCATGTTTATATGGGGTCGGCGTTTCCTTCTCTAATATGTTTCCTCCATTTTTTCTTATCATATTACTTATCCATATCGAATGGGGTATGGATAAGTTATTTCTTGCAAAGATTCACATTTAAACTTATCCATTTTATGTGGAGTGAATGATTATAAGCATACAACAAAGGAAATAAATGCCACGAATATGATTAGTAATAAAATGGTGCAAAGAGCTGCATCTATTTGACAAGATACATTTTGCTTGAAACAAGCAATTTAGTTTTGTGTAAAGTTAAATACAGCTGTCCCTTGATAATCCGACAGGTATGGGACCAAAAGGGTGTCCAGATTACCGAAAGTGATTACATATTTGGCATTGTTTTGCTAGCAGTAGCCTACAATATTCCCTACTCCAACCGTTCGAACAGAACTGCTCACGGAAAACACACGAAATGTGTGTCATTGTGTAAGAATTGGATGGGGAGATTCACGTCGTGACATGCTTCTGTGCAAGCAGACACATAATGGGGATGGGTACCTTGACGTGAGGTGTGTCGGACTACTGAGCATGTCAGATTACAAAACGTCGGACTATCAAGGGACAGCCGTAATGGTAATTGAATGATAGAGCCAGAATAATTATCGGGCTAGAATTTGATTAATTAATAATGTAGATATGCAGTTTGTACTGAAGGTAGATGATTATGCCAAGGCCATTGAAAGGGAGAGCTGGAAATTTTTCACAGGTCAGAGAAAACTTACAGGTTTATAGTTCTTCCGCTATAAATTAACGTTATTTTTAGTAACAGAAAATAAATATTTAAAACTGCTTTTTATTAATACAGAAGCATTCTTTGCATTTCATCTGTTTAAAAAAATGGCAAAGGGGGCCTGCTATACCTCAGGTCCCATACAATCTCATGATGGTTAGTTAATAACAGGAAAATTATAATGTTAGGAGTGCAACTGCAACTGCATGTTTCTATACATAGACTAACACAGTTACAAAACTGATACAAAACATCATTTTAATTTTATAATATTGCTAAAATATAAAATTGTCTACATAAGTTCATGGGCAGATGGGACTTGTTTGAGCAGCAAGGGACAGGTACCACTCGAAATTTCTCAACTTTCTAAAGGCCTAAATTGCTGCCACATAATTTGTATGTATTTTTGTACAGATGTGGATTTGCAAGAGAAACCGGTCCCCGATGGATTATATCATCCGAAGTTAAAAATTCTCAAACTGGGAAGGTAAGAGTAAAGATATTTAATAGCTATAAAATGTACGTAGGTATTTAAAATTACATATTTTTGATTTAAGGTGACAAAATTGTGGGATTACAAGAGTCCCGAAGAATTGTACTTACTCTTCAAGGAATTCCTCCAACAAATGTATTTCAAGTGAGCATTAAAATTCATTATTTTTTCATAAGCATTGTACTATTCTTTTATAAATTTATTCCTGTATACAGAATTTATTTAATAATTCATCATTTCCAAAAATAAAACTTTGAGTTAAAACTTTTCTACCCCGTAAGAATAATGCTGTATTTGAGAATTTGAAACAGATTTCTGCAGCTCCATTTACATGGTTTCATGGAATCAATTACTTCCATAAGCAAAGAGATTATTGTATATATAAAATTCTTTTTTTGAGTATTGGATTAAATATTACACAAAATACACAACTGCAAAGAGTAGAATAGGCTTCTAGTTTTTATTGATTGGTGAATCACTTACGCCCCCATCCATTTCTTACCTTGTATTACCCTGTATCAATTTAAATAAATTATTTTGGCACACAATCTATTATTATCTATCTATCTGGTAATGTAACATATGAGATATGTGATGCATGAAAATCTTCTTTACTTTGGCTAACAGCACAGTATCGCAGTTTGGAAAATTGACTAGATCAGTCTATGGAACGACCAGTGGTCCACGAATCATACTTTGAGAACTAATGTTTGAAATGGGAGTATCTATAAATACCAGAGGCCTAGAAATGCTAATAAAAGTCCACAAATTTCTTGATCTGGTCTGGCAAACGTACAAATTTGCAATTATAAATTGGTTAGTCAAGATACAAAGTAATTTCTTGTTTCTTCTTTTGAGACCTTTGTCACAAAATCATTCATGAAGATTTCTGGTGCAAATTCAAATTTTAATTTTGTGGAGTGGTATAGAACCTTTACCACACAAGCCACCCACCTATCAAGATACAAGCTCCGGAATTGTGTAATTTCTTACTGATTCTAAGGTGAGTTGATGATGATGATAATGATTATAACATTTTCTGATTTTCTAAAACACCATGAATAGTTTAAAAATTAGTTTTATTTGGGGAACTTGGGGGCGAATATTTGTTGGACCATTGAATGATTTGAAATACAAAAACAAAAAATTATTAAAATTCGTAAAATAAAGACTTGTACGTAACAATCTCATTGCACAGAAAAAATAAATTTTAGTTGTCTTCCCTACTATCTTCCAAAACATTTTGCCAATACTCCTTATTTGCCAATGGCTGGACGTATTTGTTACTCGAACCTTTTGGACATTTTGCTATAACTTTCAACTTGTTTGTATTAGTTTGCTGGTTTAGTTTTCAATAAGAAAATTATGAGCAGCATACAGCTTATGCACAAAATGCCAAAGGAATTTTCAGTGTATAAAACTGCACACTTGATAGCACAGAATAGTTTTTAAATTTTCCAACAAGATTGCCATGAAGAATAAAAAACTTTCATCATATGGGGAAAATTTATAATCTACATTGGCAAACTATGTTATAGTAACTGAAAGAACATTTACTAGAATAAGATAAACAGATGATTTCATATGAACTGTTATACAGTACAGTACAATACAATTTTGATAGAAGTACTGCATTATGCAAGGGTTACCTGTATTTAATTTTATAGGTGATCTATATATAATACATATGCAAGAATAGGTTTACCACCTTTAGCTGTTCTCATCTACTGCAGGATATATAGGTCTCTCCAATCACTTCAATTCCGAGTTTTCTGCATCCAGTTCATCCCCAGTCTCTCCATCTCATTTTTGTTATCCAGGCATCCTTCTTCTTGATCTCTGTGTCCATTCTGTTATTCTTTGTCTATTCATCTGTAGCTCCTAACCTAACCACATTTTCTTCATGCAGGAATATATTATATGTTGAAATTTATTTTTTTGATTGTTATTATCTTGTTAAAATTCAAATCCGATTTCTTACTTTTCTTTTGTTAAACAATCTCTCTTTAATGACGAAGGTTTTTCTTTTGTTAATTTAAATTTCAATTGGCCAATTAAATAGAAGTTTCAGTTTAAAAATAAACTCTGTCTCATTTATTGGTTCATTTAAATTTAAATAGACAAATTACACGAGAGCGTAATAAAAAATAACGTCTCTTTCTCTCATTGGTTATTTGTAATTTAAATAGTCCAATCAAAAATATTTCTGTAATAGCTTTTTTTCTAAAGTAATTTTTTATGAAACATTATGAATTTTATATTGAAAAATAACTATAGTTTGATAAGAAACTACTTTATTTATTTTTCTTGTATTTTATCTATAAAAATTTTATATTTTGAAAGCATTCAATATATATTTATAGCTTATTTTTCTTTTAAATTACAAATATTTTTTAAAACAAAATACCTTAAAAACGTTTCCACTAACGTTTTTTTTTTCTTTTCTTTTTTTTTTTTGCTATTAAACTTCTACAAATAAATCCAACTATTTTTATTCCTTAAAAACTTATCTGAAATTATTAATTAATCATTAATATATTGAGTATATAATATATTTTTATATATAAAAATATATT